CAGGGTGAGAGAGGAGGAGCAGGAGGAGGAGCAGGAGGAGGAGGAGGAGTCAGTATCACTGTTATATAGGTAGAAACATGGAATAAAAACCACTTGAGAGCTTAAACTTTTGTCTTTCATTGTAAACCTGATGTTCATCAACATTAAACAACATTAACGTTAAAGAAGATGTTTCCGGTCATATCCAGAGCCGATGACTTCCAGTAATAATCACACACTTCTTTACTTCACATTCGATCTGCCTCAGAGAGAGAAAGAAAATTCTTCTTTATTCTAACATCTACTTCTTTGTGTTAAACGGTGTCTGCTCGCCGCCTCCTGCCTGAGGACGCTCTGATGTCGTTTACATGAAAGAGACTAAAGTAGTTTCTGGAAGAACGAATAAAGAACGAGACGCTTGATTTAGAAAACGAGAACGGTGTCGGCTGGGATTGGCTCCGCCCCCTCGCGACCTGAAAGATAAGCGCTGTAGCTAATGGACAGATGGACACACTGATTTCAGGACAGTGTTTTAAATCTGTTTCAGTCCTGAGAATCATTTGATCGTCAATGTGACGCATGTCTGAGTGAGTAAATCTGCCCGACGACAGCACGTCCTGTCACATGACTGATGGTCAGTTTGACCTCCAATTGACCTGGACGTTAAACCTCAACCTTCTCAACATGCCTGCACGCTCTGAGAGCACACACACACGCACACGCACACACACACACAGGCACACGCACACACACACACACAGGCACACACACAGATACGCACGCACACACAGGCACACACACACATACGCACGCACGCGCACACACACACATACGCACGCACACACAGAGGCACACACACACACACAGAAATACACACATATCTCTTCCTTTCAGTTGACAAGCTCTTTAAACACCCACCTCACTGAACTTTACGACATGACACACACACACACACACACACACACACACACACACACACACACACACCTTGCCTGGTGTGACAAGCTCTTTAAAACACCATCAAGTCACCCGGCTGAACTTTACGACAAGGTTTCATTTCATGTTTATAAGACCCACACACACACACACACACACACACACACACACACACACACACACACTGATCACAACAAGTGTTGGATTTACCTACTCATCCAGTACATGATAAATATGTCTGTTTGAGTCAAGGTCAAACACACCTCCTCCTCCACTTACACACACTCTTACTTATACACACACACAGACACACACACACAGTGAAGAACAGAGACAGAAGTGTGTACCTGATCATACTTATTGATCACATGACACACGACTGAAGTGCCTCTCTGTTTCTGTGTTAACCACCTTTTTAAACAACTCAGGTAACTTCTTAAACGTCTTTAACATCCTGCTGTGATCACGTCTCTTTGCTGCCAGTCAGTCAGTCAGTCAATCAATCAATCAGTCTCTACCTTTAAAGTTCTCATTTCCTTCCTTTCCCCTCCTCTCCTCTCCTCTCCTCTCCTCTCCTCTCCACCTCCCCTCCTCTCCTCTCCTCTCCACCTCTCATCCTCTCATCCTCTCCTCCTCTCCTCTCCACCTCCCCTCCTCTCCTCTCCCCTCCTCTCCTCTCCTCCTCTCCCCCCCCCCTCTCTTCTCTTCCT